AATTGAACTGCTTTCCTCTGTTCCTGAGACAGAACTCGTTCAGAAGTTCCTCTGTTTTCGCAATTACCTCCTCAGTTGGCGCACCCTCATCCTCTGCATAGTCATACAGGCCCCGTCTAACATTTCCATCTGATGTGAATCCTTTGTATGGTCTCTCCAAGTTCTTTGCTTCAAGTCGGTCTATCAACCAAGCAGGAGCTTCAATTTGTCTCCTCGACTCGCACCAACTTAATGCCGTATGATCTTGTATCCCAGCAATGCGGGGATGATCCGGCGAAGGTATGATATCGCGGAAAGGAACAGCTGCATCGGAACGTGGCTTTTTTGGATCTGAAGTTTGAATATATCCAGAGTTTTCTGGTAGAACTGCCATATTGAAGTATTGATTGAGATACCTGGGAGTTATTTTAAGATGGGAGTTTGACAGGAACGTTATGTCACAAGGGGTTTCTTGAAAGTATGTAGGGGGAAACGGTTTGAATATGAATGTTCTTCAATTGATACATCGCTACTCAGAGCCGAAGCATAACCCGACAATGATCTCACCATGGCTTCAGTTGATGTGGAGAGCTTGTGGAATTGCTGCAGAGACGTACGAGTGCGAGTCGAATGATATAGGTGGACTATCCCGGCGTCATTGACGTTGGGAATTTCATTCTGAAGCTTGAGGGAGCTCAATGCTTATTAATCCCCACAAATTAGCGTTTGAATCCCTGAATTCCCCTCAATCCCCCCACCACTTCCACTTCACATCTTGTGGGGACTTTAACCTTTCTTACTCGTCGTCCACATTTGACCCAACATACGGATCTCAGTCCGGGAGAAATTGACCATGCTCGACGGGGCTCAAGGTGGCAGATATGGATAATACGGTATCGGAGCAGTCGCGGTGATGAAGGTAGTTGTATCGGCTTCCACCAAAGTGGGATTGAAATGGGTTGGTGAGAGTACGAAACTTTTGTTTAAGTCAAGAACAGTTCTCTCACAATCTCTACCTCTGTTCTCCCTCCAATCTTTCCCAAATCCTCTCACTCCATCCCAACATCTTTTTCAACACCGCAGTAGAGCACATTATTTCAACCATACGCCAGCCATGCCAGTACCGTCATTTGAGCGTACGTTGTTCTATAGTTCCAGCCAAGCACTCGTGTCAACACGCCGACTGATATGCTCATTTTCTAGGTCTTGTACGATTCGTACCTAAAGCGGAGGAGGAGGTACTCATAGGTCAACCAGTAGACTTGGAACTCGATGTGGGAGCTGCATTCATTGCAGGAAAAGAGGTGGAAGTTGATGTATACAGCGGATCATCAATATTAGAACCAGGCACTCCGACTGGAACAATTAAAGAAATTGGAAAGCTTCTATCTCCGCTCGCAGAGTCCGAAGTCGGCACAATTCGGTGTATTGGATTAAATGTAAGATACTACTTCTCTGGAGGATGTGTGGCATTGATTAATTATTGCACAGTACGTCCAACATGCGCACGAAGTTAAAATGGCCATCCCAGATTTACCGACTGTCTTCATGAAACCTTCGACATCTCTCGCAGATCCATATCCTTCTCCGACAGTTATCCCAAAATTTGCGCTGAAAGATGATTGCTGTGATTACGAATCTGAGTTGGTAATTGTGATTGGGGAGAAATGCAAGGACGTCAGCGAGGCAGACGCACTAAAATATGTTTTGGGGTATACCGCGGCGAATGATGTTAGTAGTCGCGCAAGTCAATTTGCACAAAGTCAATGGTGCTTCAGTAAAAGTTTTGACGGAGCTTGTCCAATTGGTTTGTCTTCTCAGAGGAATTGAGTAATCGAAGTTAACAAAATCCTAGGTCCGGTCTTGGTGTCAACGAAGCTCATTCCAGACCCATCGAAACTTCGAGTGAGAGGTCTAAAGAATGGAAAAGTTATGCAAGATTGCGGAACAGAGTATGAGTATACGATCACATTTTAAGCAGTAAACTGACCAAAAACAGCGATCTGATCTTCCCGGTTGCGAAAATTGTTTCCTTCCTCTCGCAGGGAACTACAATGCTGCCAGGCACCATAATTTTGACCGGTACACCTGCTGGTGTTGGTAATAGCTTCACACCAAAGGAATATTTGAGGGAAGGAGATACATTCTCCGTTGAGATTTTACCACATATTGGAACTATGATGACCAAGTTTGAATATCAAAAGTAAATCGAGATTGACAGCACTAGGCGATTTATCAACGTCCAATATGGCAACAAACATCAATTCAATACAAAAATCACTTTCTTTCGGTAGTAAACTTCCATTCGTTCATTCAAGTGGTTCTATTTTTCTAAAAAAATGTTTTGTCTCAATCCTTCTCGGATATTCAGAATTAACTCGTGAGGGGTTTTCTATCCACGGTATGAAGCTGCAAACAGCAAGATATCCAGTCGCATCCTTGCAGCTACTCTTCTCGCAACTCTCCCCCTACCCCTTCCTCTTCCCCTGCCTCTTCCGTTTCTTATCAACGGCGGTCTTCCTATTGGAGGCCTTCTGATAGGTCGAACGACTCCTGGTCTAATGGGTCTTCCGCGTCCCCTCCCACCGACTCGGATGGTAAGGTCTAGTCGAGGAGGCATCTTCGCTTACTATGTCTGTTTTATATACGGCAGTGCGTTTATTTCACCGGTTATAACGGTTTAGATGCGGTGAGAATCACGAAATTTCCTAGGCGTTTTGGAAACTGCTTTGCCCAGCCTCTTCTCAATAGCGTTACCTATTGGGTTCTGATGTAAACTATCGTCATTATAAGTGGGGGTGCGGGGCTGCGATTTAAGGAAGTACTTTTCCGTCTGTTATTCCAGGGCTTTGGGGATGTCACTCTCCTTCAGTCTTTGACTCTTTTGATACCTTTTCAATCAGTTGGAATTGTGGAAGTTTCCAGTCTTGAATCATCAAAAAACCGTAACAATGACACAAATAATCATCATTCTTCAATGGCCATAAAATATTCTGCCAAGCTGCATTTAGCTGTCTGCGTGGGTTAAAGCCGGCTATACCATAGAATGAGGCTTAGCCACGAAGCAAAGAGTCATCACATTTGTTCTCCTTACGCAGCCCTACTTGATAGTGATTTCCTACAAGCACGTCTCGTAATTGTGGAATGAGTGATATTTAATATTACGAAAAGGTCGAATCGTGACCTGATGTTATCCAATCTGTACCCCTTATTTCTAGGCAGACGAATTCCGTGCTTGCGGCTGAGAAAACCAGAGTAATATAAATGTAGATATTTTTCCTTCATTAGAATGAACTATATCAAATAACATAATTTGAATCAATATGGCTCCCATTACAATGAAACTCTCCTTGATATTTCTCAATCTTTCCCATGCCGTCTATGGCCTTATTCAAGCTCCCCCACTTCCCGGATCCCATGCCCTGGGAACCACAGTTTTCCAAGCAACAGACTCATCAACCTCTCGTGGTCTAATGCTTTCCCTCTTCTATCCCACCTCAGCTCAAAATACATCAAACTACACATTCGCCCCCTCCTTCCCAGTAGCCACCGCTCTCCACCTAGCAGAGACCTACTCCCTCCCTCCTACTACCCTCCAAGGCTTCAGCTCACGCTCCTACAACGCCGCCCCTATCCTTCTTTCCAATAGCAACACATTCGATTTTCCCGTCCTCCTCTTCTCACCAGGCTACGGAAATACCCGTCTCATCTACACAACCATTGCCGAAAATATTGCTTCCCTCGGCTATCTAGTGATCACTGTTGATCACCCTTTCGATGTCGATTTTATCGAGTATACAAATGGCACCACAGCAACTTGGGACGATGTCGATTTTGATAATAATACCCAAGCGATTCCTTATGTAGATGCTAGAGTCAAGGATTTACAATTCGTCTTGAATTCGCTCTCGAATTCATCATTTACTGCTCAGATTCCTGGAATCTCGAATTCTTCTCCTAAATCTATTGGATATGGAAAATCTCAACAAACTTTCCAAACTAAAAAGATCGGTGCATTCGGTCATTCATTAGGTGGAGCATCATCCTTCTCAGCTGCGGGTGTCGATTCTCGTTTTTCATGTGTAATTAACCTCGACGGTCAATTATTTGGGGACGTCATCCAAACCGGGCTTAAAACCCCGTTTATGATTATGGCAAATGAATTGCATTATAGAACTGAAGAGAGAGATGCTTCATGGTATGATTTCTGGGCTAATTCTGTGAAACTTGGAGGTTGGAAGAGAGACGTGAGGGTAAATGGTACGACGCATGGTAGTTATACGGATTTGGCTGTTTGGGCGGGAGTATTGGGGTTAGGAGGATTTGAAGATTTGTTGGGGACGATTCAGGGACAGAGGATGCTGGAGATTGAGAGTGAGTTTGTGGGTAACTTTTTTGGGAAGTGGTTGAAGGGGAAGACGGGGAAGGTGTTGGATGGGCCTAGTAAAGCGTGGCCCGAGGTGGTTTTTGATTTTTAATTTTGGGGTATGATGGGTTGAAAGCTTGGAAGTGATGAGAAGAAGAGATGATGGCCTCCATAGATAGATTTCATGTGTAACGTATTTTCAAGTAATCTTATGTTTCCACAGTGTAGGGTTCGAAAATTATTGACCTTGAAAGATATGAACGTTTAATGTGGCTCAATATCTTCATTGGACAGTCATTTATGAACCAAAATTCGGTCTTCTACCTCGTAGCCTGAGATGTTGCGATACTTAATTATATGCTCCCGTTGAGAATATGTCCACTTGCAGCCTCTACACATTTTCACGCAACTATTTTGTTCACAAGATAAAATAGCAATATAATTTCTTTGCGAATATACTTGCTCGCAATAATGATACTGACTAGATTTCCTAATTGTCCCCAAAATAAGTGTCAATTTTTCACTTGTTGCATGCGAACATGTAGAACAGAATCGAGAATGGGAACGGAGAAACTATCTTTGAGATGTTGTCATTGTGCAACCATTATATCGCGAACATGCACAAGCTTTAGATTTCCATCCTGCTAAGGTGTTACGAGCGTGTAACTTTCTCAACCAATCTGAAAAGTGATAGGTTGTGGGGGAATAGGCTGTGTCCAAGGGGGTTGCCATAACCATGGGCGTTAATGATATCCTAGTGTTACCCCTCATGCAGGACTTTGTCATCTGTTTGTCTTGCTTTTGTTTACATCTAGCTTTCCAAGTCTTTGAAAATGTCTTCCATTATTGACGTGATTGATCATTCTTGGATATCGAATTCGAAACAAAACGACTTTGCAGTTGTATATACGAAAATTATACAGATTTTCCATTACCGAAACTTCAACACCTTAGAGCCATCAAAACTTGCGATTGATGGTAAGGATATCTATCAATGTCAGGAAAAGTACCAAGCACTTAGCATTGAGGTACTTCTACAAGCTTGTGAGTATAACAATTCCACTTGGAAATTCCCTACATCTTTTTAAACCTAACTTTCTCTCCATAGATACTCCGTGCAATCGCACACCAAAACCTCTCGAGTCTCGAGTCCTCATAAATAAAGGCAACTCACATTACCTCCTAGCGTAACCAACCGAAGAAACTTCCTCGAATCTCGTACAACCACTTCCAAGATGGTGAAAGAAAATGATGTTATCGCCATTATTGTGATTCTTTTAGTTTTCGCAATGATACCTGTAGCGTTTTATACACATAAGCTTTCGAAAAAAAGATTATCCTATAGTGAATATTCTTCAAGTACAGTTATGGAAGAGGATTCTGTAGATTCCGCGGAATCCACGGAATCACCATCATCGCCATCGCCGCCGCCACCGCCGGGTAGTGGAAGGCGGGTTGTTGGAGTGGGAGGAAGACCTATAGTTGGAGCTGGAGCTGGGCCTCCTGGACTCCCTGGGTTTCCTGGACCTCCTGGATCTGGACGTCCAGTGGTAGGAGGAATGGGTGGATGGTTTGGTGGTGGAAGGCCTGTTGCAGGCGGTTCTGGTGCCGTAAGACCTGTTGTGGGCTCTGTTGGAACGGGAAGTCCGATTGTTGGTGATGATTGAGAAATTTAATGTTGGGCTTTTATTTGAATTGAAATTTGATACCATGTATTTGTCTTTATAGCTTGATCCGGTCTTGGAACCCAGTTTGGTTTGGGGAGTTTGTTACCGTCATTAAATATGGTGGTTGAATTGAGATGTAGACATAATGATCTTCTTATCTCCCAAACAGAAGGATATATCGTTGTAAAGATTCATTAATGGTGATCGGTGTTCGTAGGCTTACAATAGCATGTAGTCGTTTCAAACGCCTATATAGATTTTAAAAGCCAATCATGAGATAGATAATCTTACCTTTGATAGAAGCGATCTTGCCTTGAAGATCGATTTCGTTATTCTGCTACAACTCAGGAAGTCCTTTGAAATCTGTTGCATATCATAATAGAGACTCCGATATAGGGCATCTAAATGAAATTAGACATTTGATAAGATTGTTTGATCAAGAAACTGGTGAACACAAGTGAATGGCGGGGCTGGGCTGGATTAGCCGTTTCGTGCTCTCGCTTACGTCACAAATCACACTAGCGGCCGCCTCTTAGCCCAGCAAAATTTATCCGAATATCAAAAAAAGTTTTCACCACCCCACTAACTCAATGGTGAATATATTAAAAGATAGAGCTCAACACTTCATCAAATAGTTCATCACTATTCACACAGGTGAGATGGCCGAGTTGGTCTAAGGCGCCAGGTTAAGGTTTAAAGCTCTTAATACAAGATTATCACAGTCTCCTGGTCTAGTAATAGGCGTGGGTTCGAATCCCACTCTCATCAATTTGCTTTTGCTCCTGTCGTTTATTTTTGAGAATTTGCATCTGAAGTTGATCTTCTAGCTGTTGAAAACGAATCTTTGCATCTCTTGAGATCTTCGGGTCTCTTTTTGAGCCAGGTCTCGACCAAGTTGGTCGGACCAAGACCATCTATCCACTTATTTTCAACCGGCAAAACGTTCCCGAAACAAGCGTAGGAAAAACGAACGAATCATGAAACCTGGCTTGGGACACTATTATGGTGTAATAGCATAGCGCAGTTTTGACATGTGTCACGATTTGGAAGGGTTATGTCTTCTAAATAATCATCTGGGAGGTTTTACGTCTACTTCTTTATGTGTTGATTGGAAAGTGAATAAATACTTTTCAATATTTTGTGCAATTCCTTGATATATACCATGTTGTTGATCTTCAAGTCGATCACATCATGATGGCGAAAGTTCGACGTCATTTTAATACTATATGTATATGTGTATATATGTCAGAACCACATATTATCATGAAACATGCATGAAAGCAGGTACACGTCGTGCACTACATCAGACGATCTAGACTATCATTTAAGCTTAAAATGATATCTATAAGGAACATTCTTCCCCGTCTTCTCTTTACAAATTTTCACTTTTGCCTATTATAATAAACAAACATGTATTTTTCTATTTTTCCATTGACTATCCTTGCCAGTGCGGCATTTTTCACTTCTTCTGTCGCGATGAACATAGAGGTAAATATCTATCACAGTTCCAGTTTGAATGGCTACTAACAATATACCACTTTAGGCTCGACAAACCCCCGCCCCTCCGCCGACTTCAGCCCTTAGTCCCATACCCACCACAAAAACTACTCTTGATGCCTCTCAATCAGCATCTCAGTCATTAGCAATTCAGTCAGCACTTGCATCCTATGCATCCTCTCTCTCCGCAGCCTCCACTTCGGACATTGCTGCTGGTTCCACTGGCTCCACGCTCGCCGGTCCTGGAGCTTCGGCCGCTGCCAAACCTGCCTCTGGCTCGGGAGCGGACACAAGCGTGATGTGGATAAACGTTGGATTGGGATTGGTAGTTAGTGGGATTGGATTACTATGAACGAATAATCTCATGGAAATGTTAAAGATATAAGGGATTCCAAATCCTAAAATGGTCGGCGAGCCAAGCGTGAAGGAGTCGGAGTTTTTGTTTACTTTTGGAGTTTGGGAGTTACATCAAGTTCATCTGGAATACGAAGGTCGAATATTGAAGCTGTTCGCGAGAGGTCACAAGGTTTGAGGAACCTTAGTTGTCGAATTCATATTCAGATATCCAAGGATATCATTGGGTTACGGAATACGAGGAGCTGGACCAAGCGACCAAAGCACAAATTTGGAAATTCACGAGAAGGAGCCCCCTTATGTCGTATGAGTATAGATAAAAGTGGTATCTCCCGACGCAAATGGCTGGATTGGAGCGAAGTTCGGCACATTTATACGAGTTGGATGATATATGCATGGAATTTTACAAATGGAGTTTCGGTGAATTATATTGATCGGTATGAGGTTAGAGGATGGATTTATTGATGATATACTTTCATTGCTGGGTAATCAACAGCAAACTAAGGAAGGAAGGAAGGGAGCAAGACGAAAAGCCCCTCGTCCAAATCCACTAGCTCTATCAGCACTAGAAGTCCTTCCTTATTTGTATCAGTAATTATAGAAAAATTCGTTTGCTACTCCTGACATTCATTTCTATTTAACACAACCCGAAATGTCCAATTTTTATCATTGTGACTTTAGCTTGGATATTCCTTAACTTCTATTTCCCAATATACTATATTTATATTAATTACCTGAAACTCCTAATCCGGGATTTCCAGCGCTATATCGATAGCTCACTCGTTATTCACAGCATTACTATATAGTATACAACCTCAATCAGAGAAACGCAATCATGCAAAGTCCCCGCATCGTTGAAAGAGAACCTATTGGCAACTTGATCCAAGACGATCGAGATTTCAAAGCCACTTATGCCTATGTTCTAGCAGCACGTGGGGCTGATGAAGATGATCACCCTGCTGCATGGGAAGATCAGATATTAATCCCGGCGGGTACTCACGACCAGGTAATTGAAAGAATTATTTCTGTCTATGATTTCTTTGCAGTACTTGTTGACCTTCTATTAGACAAGCAAGGTACAACGACCAACCCAGAATCAGAAATTAATCTCAGCGGGCAAGTCAGTTCCGGTAAGTTAGAGTATCCTGTCTTCCACCGAAATGTTTCGCAATACATACTCATCATCCATGTATTATAAGAGACCCGCCTACACACCTGTTCTGAAGCATATTGTGCATAATCTCAAGCTTAAAGGATGGGTGCCCGGGATAAGGCGACACAATAGTGTAATCGATCCCATAGACGAAGAGACGGGTTTGACTATTCCCACACTTAATATGGCCAGAGCCATTTATTTTCGTTGGCACTCCATCGGCGAACTGGGGCGCATAATCATCGCACCTCCTGTTATAGCACGAATTCGTCGCGGTGATCCCGAGCTGGGAGACTACATGGACAACATGGAATATTATGAGCGCAAAATAGAACTTGAATTTTTGGGAAGAGCACGAGATATCACATCTAATATGGTGCTTGCCAACATTCACACGGATGATTTCAAAGAAAGATGCAGGTCGAACTTTGGTCATCTCCGCTTGGCAATGTTGTTTTACAACCTTGTAACAGATGACCAATTATACTTCATCTTTCGCACTTTTTGGTTAGCTGTTGACTTTAGTTTTATTCAATGTAGCGACAAGCTTCCAGATTCTCCTACCGATGAAGACAAATACCGACGGCATTTGCGGAAGTTCACTAAATTGAAGTTTGCTCATTTTGCAGCTTATTACTTCGAACAATGCTTGCAGCAGAAGACTTCTTATCGTCATGATTCAACGCAACCTTCGAGAGCTGAGAGGCAGGTTTTCGCTTCTGGAATCAGGCGTGATATGGGAAAAGAAGGTGAATCATCTAAATCTCAAGAAAATGAGAATGGTAATGATGCAGAGTGCCCCCATTATTTTGTAGATCCCGAGGCTGATTTAGATTAAGACCCTTTCGCAGGTCCACCTGAGGTTGGGATACATGAAGACCCCCTCGCAACTCCCAGAGCTGAGCACAGAGAGATAGTTTGGTTCAATCCGGATGAGGCAAGAGACAGGTGGGCTAGAGGGGCGATCAATGTGATAAAGTATTGGGAAGAGCCACCATTTTCGCTCTTCATATGGAATGCTGATATGTTACCTGCTACGGGAAATTTCTGGGAAGGTGGCGGTTTGACATGGTAGAGGATCAAGAGTGCTTAGTGAGCTGGGATATTCTCATCATGGAAATGGGGAGTTGATAGCGTTGAGAGCCATAACTTGGAAGAAAGGGTTTAGGGTATATAATACGGCCATAAAATGTATTCCACAGCGCGAGGGCACGATGTTCTCGTCTCTCATCAGCAAAGTACATAGCAGGTTGATAAAACATATCTTCGTGTGAGCTTTGACCCTTTTGCACTGGTTGGTGGTTGAGCATGCACAATGTGAACGTGTGCAAGATTACGAAATACTTATGGTCCGGCAGCAGCTGCAGTAGAACTTGAAAGAGGAGGATGAAAACTTCTGGAAGTCATTAACGGGATGCGGAGAGACGTACAAGAGCCAGAATTCCATCAGAGTTAAGCGACCTAATACAAGTATAGATTGTTCGTAAGTTTCGTGATATGGAACCTATTAAATGTAGAAGATATGTTTTAATCAGCCTAGAAAGATATTGATGAAAGTAGTGAGCCTCGGAATACTGAGTATATTAAATGACCTCGATGTAGAGAAAAGATAAAATGTACAGTAATACATAAGTAGTCAAAGAAACCCCACACAGAAACACTGTAGCCAATCATCATTGGATTATATAAGATCTGCTAAATACCTTCCACTTTCAGCTCGCCGCATTTCATCTATGCAAGATCCCCACATTTAGCAGCCACTCAACATGGCTTAGAGCGGCGCAAGGCTAAATGGCAATGGAGGGCCTCCGTTTTTGAGAGTGATACAAAAATACCTCGAATATCAGATCTCAAACCTTTAGATTTTCTTTTCATCTCTGTTTACATCTAATTTATTGCACTTTACCTCTCACGAACCCTCTTGTGGAAACTCTAACAAAACCCCTTTCGGCATTGCCGCCCTCATGCTCAATACACTCACAAGTTAGCCTTATCGTATGTATAAATGTCCCGAGAATCCAAAATGCCTAAAATGCTTTATATATCCTAACACTTCATAGTATCTACCAACCATGGAAGGGTTTAGCCTAGGAACTCTTGGTTCTTCACCATTCCCGTCTTACAAAGACCCCGACATTGGCATTCATTTATTAATGAGCTATGACGGGACTCAATCTGACGACTTCGATGAAGATCAGAGAGTTATATGGACCTTAGATCCTATTAACACTCTATCTTCAATCGCAAAGAACCAATTGGGTCATAGCGACAGCATCAAGATGGGAAACCCCAATAAGGACAGCGCATTCTGCGCTACAGAATGGATGATTTGTCTACGTCTCAAAGGACAAGACGATGATGTTCGACCACCCTGCATTGAATGGATGTCCGGCGCGAGGACGCGGAGGGATACCGCACAATAATTATTCAAACCTCTTCAACAGCCGCTGGCACTGTCATTCCAAGATATAGCTCTCGAACGAGCCGAAAATTGCCGACTTTTCTTTTGTTCATTAGATCTTCTTTACGGCCCATGTTTTTATATTGGACATGCTCATTGAATTCAGCATCTTTCCAATTCGGGAACCACGAGCCAATGGTTATCTCTGCTCTAGACAGTACCATGCTGGCTTTCATTGCTCGCCATTTTTCCTTTTTACTTTCACCAGACTTTATCTTCCGAAGCGAATTTACCAGCATGCCATGGAGACATTATCATCCTCATCTTTGGAAGTGTCACACTACATGGTTAACCACGACTACAAAGATTTGACATGCTTAATTATGGAGGAGTTTGCAAACAAATGGATGATTCTTTTGGACATGACCGATGTACGTCTTAAAACTGCATGCTTGACCGATAAAATCACTTCCATAACGCTTGCCCTGAATCTACGTTTTACAGCAGATCAGCAAGCAGTCCAAAAAAGAACAAATCCAACCATCGACAGAAACACCCATATTACCAACCATGGCTAGCAAAGAGGGCAGCCCACCTTCCTGGTCACTAAATGCTGACGAAATAACGTACGCTTATAACGAATTCTTATGGGGGACGGATATAGATACAAATACTATGGGCATTGAGTGGGATCAATCGTGTCTCGAAAGGACTTTATTGGAGTCTGAACCACCACGAAATACTTTCAACTCCACTGGAGGGAGCATACAATGCCAACCAAGAACTAACTCTAGTGGATCGTTTCATAACAGTAGTGATTATGCTGCTGACGGCCTGGACGAATTGTCTTCATCGCTCTGGGACGATTTAAATGGGATATCGGACTTGCCATATTTGAACAATATTGATGAAATGTTGTCAGTACCACTTACGGACAACATGAGCGGCGGCGTTACGCTTCCACTGCCATTACTCGATTTCCCCATTGACCCAACCTTTCAAACATCTAGCACTGAATTACTCGGTACTTATCGAGATCCATTCCAAGCAACATTTAATGAAAGCGATACACAACAAGCTTATGAGACCTATTCTCTCATCTCGAATCCTCAGCAACCAATAGCAGACAACTCTGACTGGCACCAAATGCAGTTTGCACCGTACATGAGCTCATCGACTGGAGTCTACTTCCCTCCATTATCTCCCATCACACAATCTCCCACTAGCACCGCCGACTTCATATCATCCCCCACGCAATCTTCCACTACCAATACCTCAAACTCAATACTTCAATCAACTTCAAACTCAACCGCATCCTCAAGTGATCGATCATCATCTGACTCACCGCCAAATGAACAAAACGAATATACTTGTACAATTTGCAGCAAAACATTCTCCAAGCGATTCGAATTCAAGTATGTATCCCAATCTCCCTTCTTCTCGCCTCTCAAACTTCTTCACTTCCATTCACACCACCCCGTACCCTCCTTTATTTCTCCTATCCCATCATTTCTAGATCTACCCCACCACATAAACCCACGAACCCACTGACCCACCCTTCACTAGTAAACACACGCCCCTCCACACTCTCCCCCACACCTGCACCCTCTGTCCCCACCGCACAGCCCGTAGAAGAGACATGACTCGGCACATGGCCGCCAAACACAAAGATGTCGGTCCCTCAGGTCGAAAATCTGTATCGAAACCTACTTGTCCTGTGGAGGAATGTAAGCGTAGTTTTGCGAGACCGGATCATTTGCTTAGACACTTGAGGCGAAAACATTCTGGATATGAGTTGAGATCTTGAGATTTTCTTTTTCCTTTTTCCTTCTTCTCCTTTTGGTTTTACTGGATTTGTTCAGCATGGCGTCGGTACACGGAAAATGCAACGAATGAGTGGGATTACAATGGTAAATTTTTGCAATGAAATCTTTTAAAACATAACTTTATGCCTTAATTCCCAATTCCTCATTTGCGTAACACGCCCAATTGCCTAACTTTCACATCGACTCAAAAACAAACATTATTGATATTCATATATACTGATAACGTACACCAAACCCCATCCATCCATCCATCCATCCATCCATCCATCCATCCATGCAAATTCCTCAAACGACCAACATAGCTCCCAACCCCAACGCAGCCGGAACAGCAAAATTCGTAATCTGCGGCGCAAACCTCTCCGCACCACCCTTCTTACTCGTACTCGTCGCCTTCGGCGCCGCAGTCCTCGAACTCGACACCCCTATACTCATTTGAATATCCTTCATTTGTAATTCTACCGGCTGCGCCGCATGTACCGTTTCCGATCCAAATTGAATAAGTCCAATATACATATCCGCCGTTACATTACCCAACCTCACGAGTTCCTCGACCAATTCGAATATCTCCGCATCAATGGATTCTTGATATATTTTCGGAACCCAGGAAAATACCGCTTGTTTTTGTCCTTGTTGGTTGAACCCGCTGAAGAGTTGGTATGTGACGCCGCTTAATGTGTATTCCGGGGCATCGGTTGAAGGTTCGTAGTATCCGATTGGCCAGACGCCGCCCCAGACGGATTGCCAGATCATGATTTCGTGTGTGGCGGATGAGGCGTTGCTGGAGGAGACGTTGTTGTTGTCGAGGAAGATGTCGAGGGCAATGTCGGCTTTGCAGGCGATGGCGTTGAGGGCTGTGGTCATGTCTGAGGCGGATTCTTGCCCGACCGGGAAGACGGACCAGCTGCCGCTTAGGTGGAAGGTTTCGATGTTGCTGATTTGCGTGGGGAGTTGCATGGATTCGAAACCGACGTTGGGGTAGGCGTGGACCTGTAGGTTGTTAGGAATGAGGTTCAAGAGCGCTGGTGAGTACTTCAGGGTGATGGTTAAACATACATATTGAATATTCTTTTCCCACATCCACGTCGCGTTAAAACTTGCACCATTATCATCTGCTAGAAGAACCTACAAAAAAGGAATATCAATATCAATATCAAATTCCCACAAAAATCAATGGAAAACATCGATTAAATAGTCATAAACATACAGTCATATTCTGACTTCCACTCCCATCATCCCCCCATTTATTCGAGCCATAAAGATAATCCTTCGAATCCGTCAGCGCACCACCAAACTTATCATTCAACGCCTGATGCGTCTTCGCACTGGCAAAGTCTAGTAAACAACAACAACCAAAAAACCATAATCCCCAAAAGGGAATACTCGAGGAGCTTTTAAACATGTGAAAAAAATGTAACTTGGAGCTTGTGGAGTGCTCGTGGGGGAAAGACATGTTTACATCATATAAGAGTATGGTATGGTTTATTAGAAATCACATTTGCTCGTGGGTCGGGTCCCATATGTCCTGCAGATGTGTTACGAGTTTCGCCAACCTCACCTTCCCTGGAATACAGATATGCGAAATTTTCAGTGGGCCTTTTAAGTATTTAGGTTTATTTGATTTCGATTTGGGGAAGTGAGTATCTGAAATGGCGACAAAGTGCTAAGCCCCTGCCAATACTTACATTTTACCCGAACCATTTATAATAGTAACTTAGACCTTGAGTTATATAAACAATAGGATTGAGTATATTTAAAAATATGATAAGTAATGATTAACTCACTTGAATATTGAGATTAAATAAGATTTACAAGATCTTATAATCTTAACAAATTAAAGTTTATAAAGCAATCTATAAAATACATCGCAGATGATACAACACAAGGAAAAGAAAAAGAGTTCCAAGTCCTCAATTCTCACAATAACATTGGAGGACATCAAAAAATCGCCCTTTGCTTAAAAAGCCAAGGATCCTGACATTTCGTCGCCATTTCCGCACATCTCCTCTCCTGGGAATGTCCAAGTTATGAATCAATTTGCCATTGACCTGCCATGATACACTAGCCATGAACAGGCTTGACATTACTAGCCAAGGGGTTATCAAAAGAGGGAGAGCCCTGTTAACAAAAATATGAATGCACGTGCATTGAGAACTTTTTCTTCCTGAGTTACCTAGTGAATGAAGATGTTCATGTAAAAATAGGTTGATAACCGACCGGTATTGCACCGATACTTCGGATACGGGGTTATCCTATAAATCAGATTCAGACTCAGACTCAGACTTTCTCTAACCGAATTCATGTAAAGTTGGGGAAGTTGAGTGGTATGCGTGAATGCAGAGTAGAGGGATTTTTATAGAGCTTTTAACTGAACCCTACCCGGTTAACTTATTATCCACTTTTATAAATTCCATCTATTGAAATTTTCCGAAATTCAAATGGAGATGATAAAACAAGAACTGCATACGGTTAATTAGAATTCGACGGTACCTGTATTTAGTAGATTCAACGGGCACTATTCTAACTAGGTATATTTCGATAGGACAGCTGTGACCCCGCTCTCTCGTCAGGAGCAAAGTCGGGACATAATTCACGTGATACACGAATTTTTGAAACTTCACGTGCTCAGGCACTCAAGGAGATTGCATAAATTTCATTTAAAAGACACATACTGTACTGAAGTAGAAACGAATAATGAAAAATGTTATGAGCACGACGAAGTCCTTAATTTGTTCCCAAATCACTCTGTGCCTGCAGTGTGAATCTTTCGGCATTACCGAGCTTGTCAAGCCTTTTTTTTGGTGTCTGGATGCAAGAGCACCTGACTAGTCATTCGAAATTGGTGAAATCATCATTGGTGTATGGCTGTGTTTCGTCAAGAGTGTGTCATCTATTCTGCTGAGTTGGAAAGGGTAACAATCGTAGCGTTTCGAATATTTGATGGTAATTTAGGGCGACGGGCAAGGTCTCCGGACTTTTCCCCGAGAGGAAGTTGAACCAAATTCGAGACGTCAGGTTCTTCAATAGTACTTTCCACACAAGCTCGAGACCCATGGTACTCACAATCATGTAGCTCCTCGCCAGAGGATTTGCTACGAGGTGATTTTGCGCAATAATCCTTGAAAAATAAATCTACGATATCAGAACGCCCGTTGCGCGCGGCATAGTCTTTTGCAGTACACCCAAAATCATCCTTATGGGAAGTATCGACACCAGCGTCAAGCAACGCTGCGAGAGCCTTTTCATTTCCTAGGCAGCAAGCCAAATACAAGCATGTTTGTCCATTGCTGGTACGACTTTCGATATCTGCGCCTGCAATGAGCAAAGCATACATGGCTCGCAAATTTTCGGTACGGATAGAAATGGCAAGTGCTGTGAAGTCTTTGCTATTGCGAACCTCTAGATTAGAATTTCACGCCAACAATAGTCGTAGCTTCCCGAAATCTGTTGATTTATGGCTGCCTGATAGTAAATGTAGGTCCGTATCTTTTCTTTCGCCCATGTTCGGGGATTGACTGCTTTCTTCTAAAATTTCATCCAAAGTTGCAACCTCGGTTTTAGCCATTGGATATGTCCGCTCAATTACCTTCGTGAGAGATGAGATGTCGTTTTCGTCTACTGTTACTATGGAGGAAATGTTTCCGAAATCTATTCCTCTAGAAGACGTATTCCCTTATCTATGTTCAAGATAGACGAGCCATCATTTCTATACTCCCCCTCATCAGTTGTGATATTGGGCCTCATATTCCTCCACGACAGACGAGCCTTCATCGCTCGATTCTTCATCACTAGTGAGACATCTTCTTGATCTGTTTTCTCCCAAGGCCACAAGTTGAACAGAATCTTCATATAATGTGCGCTTGATATCTTCCCAAATTTCAAAATCCGACAGAGCCTCCGAATACCAGTTCTTTTTGTTTTATATCAACAGAGTCTCCGAATACCATTTCTTTTTGTTTTGTATCAACAGCTCTATTGGGCTCATGCCACTGTTATTTGAGAGGGTAAGATCTGCCCCATGTTTGAAAATAGCCGCCAAGAATGGCTTTCCCAGCTTGAAAACGCTGTGTCTGGTGTATATCTTGAATATCTGATGCATAAGCATGTCGCCTTCTTTATCTGTACATCGCAAATTGAGATTTAGCTTGATGTTGTTACTCAGTGATGTCGTGACGATATCCCGTATGAACTCGAAGATACATGGTACATTCATCACGAACTCATCAGAGACAATTCTGACGAGCATCCTCTCAAGACTGTGTGGGACCTTCTCTTTTGATACGAGAATCCATTGCAAAATTGCAACATGCAATTTTGCCATCCAATCTTCAGATTTATCTCGCAATGCACAATCTAAATCTAGCCCGTTATTTTCTCGTGTTATGTCATGGAGGTCTATCTGGAGAAGGCATTTGAGATTTGTCGAAGGTTTTCCCGGTTTAGCTAGTTCACAGAGGATGATAGTTAATGTTATTGGTAACGTATCGGGGTTGAAATGTTTGAAGTTCGTCCTTGTTGCCCATTTCAAGAGTTCAAAGGTCCTAGCATCATCAAATATCTTGCTCAAATAAGACCGACTGGCATACTCTATAAATGAAAACAAATCATCCATCGATATCTTTGGATCCATGGCGAAAACAGATTCGAGAAGCTTGTAATTTTTATCTACTACCTGATAAGAATAAGAATCGTATAGAAGTTCTACAACTGAATGTGTACGACCGCGAGAGTCTTCCGCATTGTAGATGTTTCCGCCGGCTATAAGAATCTTGATTATTTCTTCTATACATTCCCATAGCCAACGGCCGTCTTGTTCGCAGCGCAAATGTGTTGAAATGAAGTCAAGAGCTGTCTTAGCACAGTACATTGGTGTACCAACAACGCTCGAGGCATCGAGTTCCTTCCCGCGACCGATAAGAACCGTACAGATATTTGGTAGTGCCAACATTGTAGCCCAATGAAGAGCAGAGGGCTCTAAAGGTCTTTTGACTCTTCTCAAGCATTCTAGTGGACGATCGCCATATTTTCCTCTTTGAAACAAATAAATATCCATCCCGTGGTCGTAAACCCCGTGGTCGTAAACCCCGTGGTCGTAAATCCCGTGTGTGAACATCCAGTTTCCGTAAACCGCCTGATCGTAAAACAAGGGGTTGTGGAGGCCGTGGTAGTGACGACCAAACGTCCAAAGTTTGTAACTACTGCTTCCTTCATCAAAAAGGAGCAACAAATCATCTTGAATATCACCCCGGGAGCTCTTCTGGACATGTTTGGCCCAGTGTCGAAGAACGTATTCCATGAACGGATATTTGCTTTCAAAATCCCGCCAGGCCTCATCGAAATCTGAAGACTTAAGATCAGGATCAGTCACAGGAATAGGAGTCCCATCAAACTGAGAAAGGGCCAGGGAACGAAAACAAGCTCGAGAGATATCTGTATGATCAACAGACATTCGGTATTGTGCAATATCTGCGCCACAGGGCTCTTTAAGTCCATGAGATACTCCTTTACTGTGAAGTGGGCAAGCTCTAGCTTATCCGACTGTGAACTTGTGCGTACGAGACTACTACACCACAAAAGTAGTTCATCTAACGTAGTCATATTTTCTGTTTCAAAAGTTTTGTCGCCAGGCCGTACTGCAAGCACATGAAGCAGTTGCGTTGTTGTCAGTGGCTATACGGCCTTCAATATCCAGAGAAGTGCATGCCGAACAAGTGCTTGATTTTCTTTGTTGCTCCTGTTTACCCTTTCAAGAATACGTCCATGATTTGGGTAAGTCTGGCGGTAATTTCTTTAGAGCTTCACGGCGATCTCGGTCTGTGCTACATTCGCAAAGGTAATCCATCTGACATGCAACCCATCGGAACCTAGATATATTTAGCTCTATAGTCAGGATTATTTTGGGGCCAAAACCATACATGCCATCAGCACCCTCTGTAAGGACTTTGACAATATGGTCTTCCAGTTTAGGATCTCGAATGTGAAGTTTCTTCGAATTCTTCCGCGTCTGAATCTCAGAATGTACATAAAGCCGCAGGTCGCTACTCCTTGCTGCAATGGAAATACTAGCATAATCTGTCAACACATTTCGGATATCAACCTCATTGCGACTAGCAAGCAAGGTTTTGATTGTTCCCGGTGCCTGATTTAGGGATTCTAGGTGCCTTGTAACCGTCTGCCCGGAGTTCTCCGGCCTCATCTAAGCCATCTACCACAATACTGGTAGAGATGAAATTCTTCGATATTTCGACTATGAGTTGGCAGAAGTCTTCTGGGGTGGCTGAGCCTTGAGCGGATTCCGTCATATTATGCTTCTTGCAGAAAGCTTCCAGCTGGATGAAGGCATTTTCATGCTGAATCAATTGTCGTGCCAACTCCCCTAGAATGGTCCGTGGATCGTGGGTCCGACTATCCTTATAGTCACAATAGAATATCGCAAGTCCTGGCAATCGTGTTAGTACTAAATACGATTCTAGAGAGTCTGGCTTAATAAATTTTCACACCGTGAGATGAGTCCTGGCTTTGTTCAATTTCTTGTATGACGGATGCCCTTTTCGCGAGGCCTAATTAGTCCGCTGTAATGTAATGCTGGGTTCGGAATAGGTATGTAGTTACATCAGAACGGTTTTTCCGGACCCAGCTATCGTTGTCAGAAAATAATGCAGCCAGTGGGTAAGCTGCTACGTACCTATTCCATATACCCAAAGTTTCGAATGATCTGCGGAGGCCCAATCCTGAAGCTCCTTGCTCTCAGTAAACCAAAGACCTGTCCCTGATTGTCTCAAACGAACGTTCGAATCTTGCCATTTTCTAACGTCAATAGTACACAAGATATCGAGCTTCTTTTTCAAAGTTGCCTCTGTATCAGAATTAGCCCATCATCTTTCAATATAACATCATACAGAAGACAACCTCTAGCAGATATTTGTCTCTCTAACCGCGAAGATTCCTGCTCAGCCTTGACGGCAGATATACCCCTGTTAAGCTGTTCCTGGTTTGCGAGTACTTCAATTAAAGCAGACCTAGACATATTAGAGAGAAAGAACAAAACAGGGAAGTTAATCTACTAACATTTGTCTGGCGCTCATAGCCATGGTCATTGTACTTTTATTGTTCTGAACCTCTTTGAGTAGCTCCGCAATAGTTCCTTTCTTGAACGGCCACTTTAGTCTCTGCGATATTGACTTCACTTCCGGTATCGCATTATCAAATTCTTTAACAATCTTTTCGAGGGTTGTTTGACAAGAATGGATGTGTTATATCTTGCTACAGGTATGCGACGTCGAATCCACTGCCTCCAGTTCCTGCACAACATTATTCAAACTATGGAGCACGCCAGAGAGACTGTTCACTTCATCAATAAGGCTCTGCACATACTTCTCAGCATCCTTGACGTCCCTCATGTACTTGTAGCCTCGTCGAACGACAGCATCGGCAAGTGATATCAAGCCAGCAATGCCTGAAGCGACATCAAAAGCCTCGGCCATTCTTGTGGAAGTGCAATTCAAAAGCTCAAGAATAAACCTGTAGCTGGGCTAATCAATGTTGTAAGGGGACCAATGGTCCATTATATATCGCTGGTTTCCGTAATAGATTTACAGCCTCAGATGTGAGAAGCTCAAACAAACAAAAATTCCAAGAGTTAATTCTTTTCGAGGCGAAGGGCGAGCAATGTCATGTTCTTATGGTTTCTATCCAGCCTGTGCCAAGGCTGGACAGCTCAATCTCATGTTGTGAAGTTGTCGGAAAGCGAGGCACTCCTCTGTCCTGAGCCATACGATTGTATAAATAGGTACGACAAGTTCACAACTGGAGCTCTAAGCCATCTTGTAGCCTTACCGTGCATGCATGGTTTGAGAAAACCGAAAGGAAAAAGAGAATCAAAACATTTGGGATTTGCGAGCACAAGAGAGAAAAAGAAACACAAAACATTTGGGGTTTGAATGAAGTTCAAGTGATCCAAAGAGAACATCAATAAAACGGTGATTAGTCAGCGAATCACAGCCGTCTACCTACACAAATTCGAACTTTCCCTGATGGGAAACGACGAGACGGTAATCTGGTGGATTGCAATACACTTTCCCAAAAATCACTAAGAAATATCAGCACGCACAAATGAGGAGCAACCATCAAAAGTACAAGTTGCATTGAAAAGGTATCCATCCATTCGTTATTCATAAAACCACCAATACCACCAATATCAACAAGCCCGCTTCTCCCGTTTCGTTTCCTGAACACCAGCCCATATCAAAGTCCAAATAAAACAATCTCTCATCCCATATGGTATTCCAAAATTCGCCTCCCCTTTTCCTAGCACTTCACCATAACCTTTTTCTGCATCTTCAATCACCTAAGTACATCTTGGACCTCTCACATAACAGTGCAAGGAATAGGAATACAACAGCATTCGTATCCATCACACTCTATACACTTTGTCTTTCCAGTTGTATTTGTGCCCTTCACGATGTCAGAGATAGTAGACGAGGCTGCGGAGCCAGGACCGTTGCGGTTGACGAGACCGGTGGAGGTTGAGGTGCACATTTTGAGTTGTGTTTGTGTGGTGTGGGTGAGATTGATATGGTGTTAAGTTGTGCTGAGGTCTGCAATGGAAAGAATTATTAGTTTTTGATTCTGTATGTTTATGATGCTGTGCAAGCTTGATTGATATAGAGTTGAGCTTGTGATGGCTGTGTCGTCATATTTGTGGTACCACTATGATGTCGTACCCACAGTAAGAAATACAGAGAGTAACTTGTAACTTACAACAGCTTTTTGTTTTTGATACTTGTTGGTAAATTCAACCGATAGTAGTTTCTGTTTCTCTGAATGTGTTTGATACCAGAAGGAAAGTGTCCGGAAAGGAAGTGAATGATAATATATAGACAGAATTCTAGACGTGGCTTAATACAAAGAAAGTTGTTACGCATGAATCTTGGAAGCTTG